AAGCATCGTGTCACGGAATAAGTCCTTTTTAAATATGTAAGCAATCGTTTGATTGCCAACTTTTCGAACGACTTAGTACATAGTTTTCACGTGCCGTCAATCATTCCTTATTTAATAATAATTATTTTTTATATCATTTAGAAAAAAATACATCTGAAAAAGTTAAAACCTTAAAGAATTATGAAATTCAATTCACGATTTTTATCAAATATGGCATAAATTACTTCTATAACTTTCAGTAGTGTTTTTATATTTTATTCTGTTAATAATTTGAATTATTTTAGATATCTAAAAAAAAGTGCAAATATCTTGAATAAAAAGTTCTTATAAATATTATGGTTGCAAAATTTTGTAAAAGTGAGCAAAACATTTATTAGAACATAAAAATAAAAAAAATGCTGGTTCAAAAATCATTTAATTAGTTTTAAAACATTTAATTCGGTTAACTTGCTTTTTTTTGGACATAATAAATAACTATTAAGTAATTTTTCCACATATGATCGCTTGAACTGGAAATTTTATATCTTCGATGCATTAAAAATTTTATTTGCTTCAAACATACAAAGAGGGAAATAAAAGTCAACTATGTTTCGAGTTCTCAAAAATAGATGCCCATTCTCAAGACTCGTCTGACGAGGAAACAAAAGCGATTTAAAACAGGAAATGTGAAGTTGCAAATGAAAACTGGGAAATATAAGTGAAAAATAAAACTAGAAAAACTGCGATAGCTGAGAGCGAAAAAATAAAGCTATAAAAACTCTAGTGGCCGAGAGAGACAAATCAGTGCAAATTGCATGTGCTATGGAGAGGTGGGAAGGTATCTATGTCGTTAAGAAGGAAATCGACATTCATATGAATAAAGCAGGATTCCAGTGAATCACAATGAGCTGACGTAATAAGGTTAAAAAGAATTTTAGCATTATCGAAATCTAATTTATCCAACAATCTTTATACGAGGGTTGCTATTTATATTTCTGGCCTAATAATGAAAAAAACAAATATGTAGGATCGAAATTGGTTTTATTGTTTTTCAAAATATTCTCCATGATGATCAATACACTTTTGCATGCGTTTGAACCAATTTTCAAAGCACTTTTTCCAGTCCGATTGAGGTAACTCCAAAACATGCGTTTTGAATGCATCAACCGCTGCTTCGGGGGTCGAAAATCGTTGTCCACGTAATTTATTTTTGATGTGTGGGAATAAGAAGAAGTCATTGGGTGCCAAATCAGGGGGGTACAGCTCTATCTCTAGGGGGGTATCTAGTATCTCTAAGTTCCTACCTGGGTTTAACCCCATAATTATCTCACACCACCTGCCTTAGATTACGTCCCCTCCTATCAGTTCAAAATCGACTGCCGCATAAAAATTTTAAGTGTGTGCGCCAGAATAGCGAAATAAAGCCAAATCTAGATGGATGAAACTGATGGCGCCTTCTTATGAATGACTTGTAAAAAAGTCGTCTTCAATGATTTGTAGTTACAAAAATGTTGCAGCTAAGAACATGCGAAAAAAATGGCGAAGCCGAATAAAAACAAGTACCAGTCAAAATATCTGTACATAAAAAATATTTCTTAATGTGTGTGTGTGTTTTTTTT